GGAGCGGAGGACTGCGCTGCTTCGGCAGCTTGGCTCTACTGCAGGATCACCAAACCCCCAACAGCACCTGAGCCCCCAAACCTGGAAATCCTCCCCCATCCCCTCCCTTGGACGCTGCAGGTGGAGCCCAGATGTGTACAAACCGTCGGTCTTTCCCTTAAAGATCAAATGGATGAAGGAGGAAGAGCAGCAAAGTGAAACCTTTCCATTTGTCACAGCAAAACGTTTTCTTTCTTCATGCAGAGGCAATGGAAATGGTTGGCTGTCCCAAAAATACATCTCTCTGTGTTCAGATGTATGAATTTCGGTCCCCTCCTCGTTAATTAAAGGCAGGCAAATTGCAAATGGAGAATGTCACAGCGCAATAAAACGTTTAAGGAGTTTAATTTCAAGCGTATCCAAGCAAAGCCTGCAGTTTTTCATCCTCAAAATACTCTTTTTTTTTTTTTCTTTTCATTTTAAATGCAAAAACTGAAGTTGTAAATAATTTCAAAAGGACCAAAATAACCTTTTATTTCTCCTTATAAACGAATGTTTCATCTCATTTTCAACAGGCCGGCTCTGTGTGATTGGAGACAGATTCTTGGTGGTGCCAACGAATGGATGAGAGGCAGCGGGCCGGGCGCTGAAATGAATTCCCTTTAAGCAGAGTGGGAGAATTGTTGTTTCTCTTCACTGGAAGAGCAGTCGGGCTGGAATTGGTTGTACAGAGAGGACGTGGGCTGCCCATCCTTGGGGATCATCAAAACCCAACGGGCTCTCGCCCTCAGCATCCCGCAATGGTGGTGGTGGTCAAAAAGAGGAGGAAATGTGTCACGGATGGCTCCCATCCGGGCTTTTGGGCAGTGCCTGTGGTTTGGGGGTTGGATCCGGAGGGCCTTGGAGGCCCTTCCAAACGTTCCCTGGTTCTGTGCTCTCCACCTGTTGAGGTCGGGGAACAGGAGAGTGAATGGAGAGAGATCTCTGAGTGTGGAACCTCCGAGTTCTCCACCGCCGAGCGCTGAGCTCTGAGATGCTCTGCCAGCCCCAAATATTTCAGCTCCCTGCCCGTAAAGACAGACGTTTTCAATGCCCTAAGCACTGCCAGACTGCTGGCAGCTGCACGGCTGTGCACGCATTCCCACACACGAGCAATCCACGAGCTGCGCATCTCCTGGCGCCGAGGGCCCCCTGCAGCCCGTTCTGCGCATCTCCTGCAGCCAAAGCACCCTTCCAACCCCGTAACGCCGAAATCATCGTCTGCCTGCACACAACATCTGGATTTGCTGCAATAACATCGGCGTTTCTGAGCAAGGCTGGCTCACACGTGTCAGCAAATCAACTGGAGGCTGCGGAGCACTGCAAAGTGCCCATTGCTGCCCAGCACGGACATCGCAGCCAGGGAAATGGAAGGGAGATGCTCTTCCCAAAAGGGACACACACTGTCCTTCCCTTCCCCCCCTGCATGGGGCTCTGAGACTGAAAAAGCAATGTGTGAATGCGTTATTCCAGGCAAGGGGAGCAATAGAGAGACCGGCGTGGACCAAACCTAAAGTGGGCACCACCCCAAAGCCCAAATTGGGAACCATCCTTTTGTTGGCCTCATTTCCCAGGTAGCAGCGATAGGATGAGGGGTGACGGCCTCACATTGCACCAGAGGAGGGCAGGGTTGGGGACGAAGAACAACTTCTTCAGAGAGCGGAGATGTGTTGGCACAGCTGCCCAGGGAGCGGCGGGGTCACCGTGCCTGGGGGCAGTGAGAGCCACAGGGATCGGCACAGGGGGACGTGGCCAGTGGGCATGGTGAGATGGACTGGTGTTGGGTTCAGGGAGGTGAGAGGTCTTTTCCAGCCCTCACAATCTCAAGGCTCTGTGCTAAAAGAGCTGCTTCAGAATGCGGTCAGGCTCTCATCCCGCACAGCGCATCCCACTGTCGCCCATCCCAGGACTGCAGGAGTGGCACTCAGCTCTCAGAGGAGCACAATTCCTCCAGCAACTGCAGCACAACGAGCTCAGTGCAACCAACAGAAAACAGACTCCTAAAAATGCAAATACTTGGCCTGGCAAGGTGAGCTGGGGCAATGCGGGCAGCACATCTCTGCCCCACAGGTACCCCTGCCCCACATCCCAGCCTGTAGATGGCATTCATACACTGCTGTACACAGCTGCATGCTGTCACAGCTGCCCTGGGGACGTAAGAATGGCCTTTCTGATGTGAAAATGAAGGTATGAGGCAAATGCTGACTGTAGAGTGCTGGGGTTGGTGAGAAACGTTGGAGCTGTTGGGTTTTATGGACCTCCTGGCACCTCCGTCAGTCACTGTGGGCCTCTGTCTGCCTTAAAGGAACGTATAGAAGGGGATCTGAGCAAGGCAGCCCTAAGGCTCCTGCGTGCCTTGGGGGCTGTAAGCAGGGAGCAGCCCAGCATTTCTCCGAGGTCTGATCCGCATCACAGCAATGCCAAAGGAACAGCTGCCCAAAAAAACCAACCGTGCCATCGGCAGTGATGGGAAAAGTGCCTGTCCGTGGAATAGAAGCAGTGCAGATTGTTTCTGCAAAGACTCCGAGGGAAAAGTCAGCGTGCTTCCTGCACTGGGAGCGCCGCAGCCGGCGTGCAAGGCTTGCACTGCGCGGGACCCAGGGGCGATGCTCTGCTCGGAGCCGGAGGGAGCGCCGTGCAGCAGCCCGGGAGCAGACGGTGCCAATCTGAGCCCAAATCCGCAGCAGACAGAAATCGCTGCCTCTTCTTGCAAAGGAATCCGCAAAGGCCTCGGGGCGACGGTGCTGCTGACATCCTGGAAGCGACGGGAGCTGCGCGGAGGGCTGTGCTGGCCGTGTTTGCTCGGCACCAGAAGTCAGACCGCGCGGTGTGAGCGCAGATCGGCACAAGGCAGGATGCATCTGACGCAGCAAAGCTCTCGCTTGCTGGAGCCACGTTTCTCCTTATCACCGCATTCTCCTTATCACCCCTCCCCTTCCACCCCCTTTCCACCCACCCCCCCGACTCCCCAGCCCCACACTTCCCGTAGGGCCGGGTCACCCAGCCCCACACCTCCCGTGGGGCCGCATCCGATGGGCGATGGGCACGGCAGCATCAGCCGCCCCGGGGAAGAGCTGGGAGAGATTTGGTGCCTCGCAGCCAATGGGAGGAGCGGTGGCATTGGGGGGGGGGGGGGGGGGGGGGGGGGGGGGGGCGCCCCCCCCCGCGCTTTGGGCTCCCTCTCTCCACCCATCTCCTACGACACCCCCTCTCTGTCACCACCGCCATCCTCCCCGCACACAAAGCACTGCAATGAGCTGAATTCAGAGTGCCGAAGAAAACAGCGAAACACCTCCGGAGGCGGAGAAGGAACCGCCATGGAAGGATACAAAGCACAGCCCTCCGCTCCCCTCCAGTGACAGCCCCAGAGCGGCTCCTGCAGCGGTGACCCACCTGGATGCACCCGCACATCCCCGCATCCCCCGAGCGGCGATCCCGGGGGGGATGCGAGGCGTCGATCCCCGTTAACCGCAGCGGCGGTGAGTGAGAACGGCACCTCCGGGGGGCTTCGGGGGCTGCGGGAACAGCTGCGGGGGGGGCGATGTGGGATCCGTAGGAAAGAAAGAGCCAAAATGGGTCCGCGAATGGACGGGATGCGGTGGGAGGAGAGGGAGAGGTGCGGAGAGGGATGCGCCCTGCTCGGTCCCTTCGCCGCTTCATTCCTTCGGAGCAGATGTGCGCACACGGACGTCCTCCCCCCACCGATCCTGCGGGCGAGAGGAAAAGAGCCTCAAGGGCGACGGGCTGGGAAATCAGCGCCGGCCTCCCGCCCCACAGATATGGTGTAATAATATCTACGGGGCGCTGCCCACAGCCGGGAGCAGCGACAGCACCGGGGCTGCGCGCAGGGAGAGCTGCAGAGAGGGGTCGGTGCTGCGCCCACCGTTCCTCCCCCCCCCCCCCCGTTCCATGCAGTGCCCTGAGCGCCCGGCAGCCCCGAGTTGGGGGCTGTGGGTCTGCCCTGAGTGGGGCTGAGTGTGGGGCCGGGCCTCGGGGGGTCACACACAGCACGGATGGGCTGGTGGGAAATAGGAGAGGAGGCTCGGCTCCTGCTGGAACCTTCCAAGGGTGGCAGATATATTTATACACAGTCTGAAGGCGCTGTCAGGGTTGCATCCATGAGAACAAGGCCCTGGGTGTGGATCTGCACTGCTCGATCCCACACACCTCCGTCTGAGCTGCTCCTGGTTTTCAACTGTGGTTCATCCAAGAGCGATGCTGGCAGTGACCCTTTGGGGAAGCACACGGCCCTGGGAGCTCCTCACCCTCTCCTGCTCCTCTCCAGGCACAGGGACACGTGTGGGGACGGGGAGTGGGGCAGGCAGGGGTGCCCGGGGCTTTCTTTGCCAAAGCACAGCCATCAGCATCCATCCAGGTCAGCAGAACGGCGCTGCTGCCTGAGCAACACAACGCTGCCGGCAGGGGATGTGTGACACATCGAAGCAGTTGTGAAGGTTGAGGTTGGTACTGGAAGAAAAGGCAAAGGGGGAAGGGGTGGTTATCGGTGGGCAGGGAGAGCTCAGGGCACCGCAGCATGGAGGAAATACAGCTGCTGCGTAGATCCAGGGCTGCCCTCACCTCCTCTGTTCTGATCCAAAGCATCTCAGGAGGCCACAGAATCGTGGGGTCCGCTCAGAAAGGACCTCCCAGACCCCAACCCAACCCCATCCTGCTGCGCCACTGCCCGCGTCCCCACACCTTTGTGGCTCTGGGGATGGTGGCAGCACTCCCTGTGCCGATGTCTGAGCACTCCATCAAAGAAATTATTCCCAATTCCCACCCTCTGCCTTTCCTGGAGCAATTTAATGCTGCTTTCTCTCATCCTACAAAACCCCACAGCACCCTGTGTTCCTGCAGACCCCACAACCCCCTCCGCTTCTCTGTGGTGGTGGGGTCAGTGTCCCTGCCCTGAACCCACTGCCTGTAGGGCTGAACTCACCTCTCTCCCTTCCACCTTCCAGACTGAGCCCTTCCTTGTGGGAAGCGCCTCCCGATCGTGATGGGAACCACAGAAGCCACCCTGCGGATGGAGAATGTGGATGTGAAGGAGGAGTGGCAGGACGAGGACTTCCCCAGGTAGGGAAGCAGCAGGGATGGCTGTGGATGGCAGTCAGGAGGGTTGGAGGGGGGCTCTGCGTGCTGCTCTGTGGATCGAGCAGCATCTTCCCAAATGGAGCAAAGTGGAACCAAAGTCGTTGGGACACGAAGATCGAGTGGCAGAATCTGGCCCTGTGTCACCTGTCTGCATCTGGTGCCACCTATGGGTCCTTAAAGTAGCTGTCCCCTTGGCATCCCACGGGACCCCATGGCACGCATCCCCTGAGCACAGTGGGCACCCATGGCATCCAGTGCCACCCAGGAGACCCTATAGCACCCATCCCCTTTGCACAGCAGGCACCCTATGGTGCCACCTATGGGACCTGGTGACACCCCTCCCCTTGACATGTTGGGTGCCACGTGTCACCTGGTGCCACGCATGGGACACCGTGTCACCTGTCCCCTTGGCACAGTGAGCGCCCCATGTCACCTGGTGCCAACTCTGTCACCTGTCCCCTATGGCACCCGGTGTCACCCATGGGACCCTACAGCACCCATCTCATGAGTACCCCATGTCACCTGGTGATGCCTATGTGACCTTATAGCACCTGTCCCCTTGGCACAACAGGCAACCTACAGCACCTAGGGACATCCTGACACTCACCCCCCCTTGACATGCTGGGTACCCCACGTCACCTGGTGCCATCTATGGGATCCTGTAGCACCCATCCCCATTATAGGGACCCTATGTTATCTGGTGCCACCTTTGGGACCTTATGACACTTCTCCCTTGACACGCTGGGTACCCCAGGTCACCTGGTGCCACCTATGGGACCCCACATCCCTCCAGCCCAGCAGACGGAGGCATTAAGGCGACATCCCCCCCCTCCACCCGCACTTCCAGCAGCACAGACCGGGGGCTCTGGGGGAGGCTGTGCCCCCTCCCAGCTGCAGCTGAACCCACAGGGTGGCAGTGTTGGTGGCACAGAGGCGCAGTGTGTGCTGTGGGATGGCACGTGCAGCCCTGAAAGCCCTCCTTGTGTCCTTCAGGGCCAGTGGATGAGCGTCGCTCTGTTCGACCCGAGCGCAGCTGCGGCGTTGGTGGGAGCATCTCTGTGCCAAAAAGAGAGGGGAGTGGAGGCACAGCAGGGTCATGTGTTTCTGGGGGAGGTTTCTCTTCCTGCTGAGGGCCGTGCAGACCTCTGCTGGTCGCCTGGGCAGTGTGGGGCAGCAGCACGGTGTGCCAGCTAATGCTCCCCATAAAAACCCACGGATGGAGGAGGGATGCGCTGCGCCTTGCCGTGCAGCAGCAAGCTCACCCAGCAATGCAGCTCCTGGATGCAAACTGGGGAGAGGCCAAGGGATGTGGGACAAGGGTGAGGGATGAGGGTGGCAGCAGCGTGGGACCCCGAGTGCAGGATCTGCCACAGAGGGATGAAATCAGGAGCTGATTTCTGCAATGGAGCGATGCCTCCATCCTAAGCGAGCTCCAGGCTGGGCACTGAACACAGCTCCTTCCTGAGAGCTGCCCCCAGCCCTCCCCATGCAGGCACTGTGCAAGGTGTGATGCCAGTATGCTGAGCTGCAGCTGATAGAGTGGGACGTGGGGAGGAGAGGGTCCTCCTGTGGGCTGCATGGTGGCTGCCACAACGCTGTGATGCTGCAATGCCATGATTCCATGATTCTGTGATGCTGGGATGCTCTGATGCAGTTATGCCACAATGCCATGATGCCATGATGCCATGATGCTGTGACGTTCTTGTGCTGATCACATAAGAGCACAGCCAACAGCATCATGGAATCATGGAATTCCAATGCTGTGATGTCATGATTCCATGCTTCCATGATGCTGGGATGCAGTTATGCCACGATTCCATGATTCTGTTAATTCCATGATGCTGTGATGCTGTGATTCCATGATTCCATGATGCTGTGATGCTGTGATGCCATAATTCCATGATGCTGTGATGCTGTGATGCCGTGGGGTCGGAGCATGCTCGCTGTGCTTTGCTTGCTGTGCTCGCCGTGCACCCATCGCATCCCATGCAGAGCTGCGGGCGTTGGGCAGTGCAGAGCAATCAGGTGCTCCTCCCGGAGCCTTAGAGCCGTTCTGCTGCGGGAATCGCGGTGTGGGGGGAGGCAGAGCCGGGGGGCGGTGATCCCATCCCGCTCGGGAAGGTAAGAGACCTTTTCTCTTTGCGTCTGACATCGGGATTGCCGCTGCTTGGGAAATGGCGCTGCCCCTTTCCCCTCCTTTTGGTGCCGTGGGGCCAAAGCGTGCGTCGCACCGCGTTTGTTGGATAAACAGCCGCGGAGACAACGGCAGGAGGGGGGGTGGGAGGGCTGGCGGTGCGCAGGGGGCTGCGGGGCCTTTGCTCGCCGCCCGTGGGGGAGCGAGAGCTTTGATCGGCTCTCATGAATAAACAACAGCAGCTCGGGGAGGATTAGCCCTCCCTCCGAAGATGTGCATGCTTTAATTTGGGGCAGCATCTTGCAGCTGACACGGCGGCAGTCGTCCCTGTGGGATCTGTCCCTGTCCCATCCCCGTTCTCCCAGCACCGCATTAAAAATGTTTGGTTTTTTCCCCCATGTTTCTCCCTGGGGACATCCCAGCATGCAGGATTTAAGCTTGCAGGCCCCACGCTCATTCCCTGCTGCTGGGAGCTCCCAGCAAGGGGAGGAACAGCAATGGGGAAACAAGGAGGGCTCAGAAGGGCCTTCTTCAAACAGCCCTGTGACACCATGGGGTCAGTGGGGTTTGGGAACCCATTGACATCATGAAGGTGCTATGGGGTCAATGGGGTTTGGGAATCCATTGACATCATGAAGGTGCCCTGGGGTCAGTGAGATTTGGGAACCTACTGACATTATAAATATGCTTTGGGGTCAGTGGGATTGGGGAACCCACTGACACTATGGGTGTGCCATGGGGTTGGTGGGATTTGGGGACCCGTTGACCATTTGGGGACCAATTTGCCATGGGGTCAGTGGGATTTGGGAACCCATTGACACCATGAATGTGCTACAGGGTCAGTGGGATTTGCGAACTACTGACATTATGCACGTGCAATGGGGTCTCTGAGATTTGGGAACCCACTGACATTAGGAATGTGCTGTAGGGACAGCGGGATTTGGGAGCCCATTGACACCATGAAGGTGCCATGGGGTCGGTGGAATTTGGGAGCCCATTGACATTATCGGTTTTCCATGGGGTCAGTGGGATTTGGAAACCAATTGACACTATGAATGTGCCATGGAGTCAATGGGATTTGGGAACCCATTGACACCACAAATGTGCCATGGGGTTGGTGAGATTTGGGAACCCACTGATGTCATGAAGGTGCCATGGGGTCAGTGGGATTTGGTCATGATGCAATAAAAAGGTTGCAAAACGTCTCCCCCAGCTAACATCCAGGAAAGGCACGATTTCCAACCCAAGCTAAAGGGAAAAATGTCCAGAAAGTGTCCAGCTCAGGGTGACAGCGCTGCTCAGTGCCACCAGCTGTGCAGAATCTGTCCCCTCTATGGCTTGGGAGCATCTCCACCTTCCAAAGGACAACAGCCACATGATGAGACCTGGCCTTGGTATCGGGAAAGGGAGCTGAACCATGGGCATTTCCAGCATTTTCACCCCAGGGCTGCAGGAGCCCAGGGAGCAGAGCTGTGGTTGGTCAGCCTTCAGCTCCCAGATCAGGTTTGGGTTCTGGTGCCCGGATCTCCACTCCAAATTGATCTGCTTTCAACACAGGCACCACTGCTGGCTGCAGAGGCCAACAACACTGTGCTCATAGCTAAGGTTGAAACCTCACCTTGACCACCAACAGAGCCACTGATGGAGCAAAGTCAGACTTTGGGATAGGAGGACGGTACCAGCATTTCCAGGGACACAACGCATTCTGGTGTCTCTGGCTAGATTTTCAATACAAGTCTTCCATTCCGCTTTTCCATTCTGATTTTCTGCTCAGATTTCCCATCCTTTCTGTGGGACAGTTGGATTAGAGCAGCGTTGGAGGGACAGGTTGGAAGTTACTTGGGATGGCGCAGTTGTTGGGCAGAGCACCCCAAGTCATCACCAGGCTGATGCTCCCAAAGGGAAGAGCCCATGCAGGGCTGTGTGTTGTTCCATCACATCCCCACTTCTCTCCACGGGGTGACTTTCTCCTAAAAATCCCTTATTTCCCAACTTTTCTGCTTGCCTGCAGGCCTCTTCCAGAAGAGACTGGCATGGAGTCGCTGGGCAGCCCTACAGAGGACGAGCACACATCCTGTAAGTACCAGCCCACCTACCGGGGTCCCTGGGGAGCACAAACCCCATGGGGTGACAGAGCACAGGTGGCCACAGCGCAGTTCCACCAAAACACCCATTCAGGAGAGGAACCAGATCTCAATTTGGGGATCTTTGACACAAACCCGGGGGGGGGGGAAATTGGGATCTCAAAGCATCGGTGCTTCCATTCAACCACACCTGAAGCATCACCTGAAACGGGACGAAGAAACTCAGCACGGCTGGCACTGAGGATGCAGGGCCAGGACAACCTGTCCCTTGTTTTCCTTTTGACTCCAGCTCCCCCACATACCTTAAACTTTAACGGGGCGCACCGTAAGCGGAAGACGCTTGTCGCACCTGAAATCAACATTTCCCTGGACCAGAGTGAAGGCTCCATTCTGTCCGATGACTTCTTGGACACGCCGGATGATCTGGATATCAATGTGGATGACATCGAAACGCCCGACGAGACGGATTCCCTCGAATTCCTGGGGAATGGGAACGAGCTGGAATGGGAAGGTATGAGGATGGCTGTGGGTGAACTGGTGAGGGTGGCCTCACTTTCACCGCTTCTGGCACCGCTCGCTGCTAGAAACGCTGCTTTCAGAGCTCACAGGTTGCAGCCCGACCTCAGCCTGGGGTAATGTGCAGGGTTTGTCCCTTTGCCAGATGACACTCCTGTGGCCACGGCCAAGAATATGCCTGGGGACAGCGCGGATCTGTTTGGGGACGGCGGGACAGAGGATGGGAGCGCAACCAACGGGCGGCTCTGGAGGACCGTCATCATTGGGGAGCAGGAGCACCGCATTGACCTGCAGATGATCAAACCCTACATGAGGGTGGTGACACATGGAGGTGAGGGGGATGCCTTGGGGGCTGGCTGCCCTCGTGGCTCTGCCAGCTGTCCCCTTTGAGGCAGGGGCTTTGTGCTGCTCGTGGCAGAAGCAGGGAGCTGCAATAAACACAAGCAGTGCTAAGTGTGGCTCCGAGGCAGTGTGAACCTTCCTGAGCCTTCCCACCAATTCCCAATGCTGCAGTGACCAAAGGTGCCAAACGCCTCTGGACCTCTCTGGGGCACAGCCAGAGGTGAAGGTACCCATAGGTGGGGGCCATTTGAGTGTGGCCATACAAAAACCTGGGGCAGAACTCTCTGCTCTGCCCTTTTTTCCTTCTTCCCTGAGCCCCACATGCACGTCACAGACAAAACCCAGCTTGGAGATGAACTCAGCTGTGACAAAGGTCCACCACAGGGACAAATGCTTCCCCAGAGCTGAGCAGAGCCAGACTTACCAACAGATCTTTGCTGGAAGGAGCAGCTGACGGTGCCTGTGCCTCTTTTCCAGGGTACTACGGAGAAGGACTCAATGCCATCATCGTCTTCGCTGCCTGCTACCTGCCAGACAGCAACCTGGCTGATTACCACTATATCATGGAGAACCTCTTCCTGTAAGTGGATGGGAGGGGATGGAGAGAAGGCAACTTGGGCTCCAGGGCTGCTGTTTGCTCATTGCATCTGGAACCTCAGCTGGAAGGAGCTTGAACTGGGGCCAAATGTCTGCAGCCTGCAGCTGGGGGGAATGTCACTGCGTTGAGATGTCCTCAGTGCTCACAAACAAGGCTGATAAGTCAGAGTGTTCAGACACTCCGTGTTAATTATGCTGGCGATGGACTCGGGCATAGCCACAGAGCACTGAACAGCTTGTAGCTGCTGCTCTGGGCAGCAAACAGTGCAGAGACATCTACTGATGCGTGCACTGTGCCAACAAGCGTGGGGAACCCCTGGGAAATGCACAAGGAGGCTGTGGATGCCCCAGCCCTGCAGGCATTCGAGGCCAGGCTGGATGTGGCTCTGGGCAGCCTGGGCTGCTGGTTGGTGACCTGCACACAGCAAGGGGTTGGAAGTAGATGGGCACTGTGGGCTTTTTCAACACAGGCCTTTCTGTGATTCTATGATGTGGTGCCGGGGGAGTTTGGTGTGCAGAGCAGGGACCCGGAGTCCCTTTGGGATGATGGAGGCAGCTTGCAGTGCCTTCTCTGAGCCTCATGTCCCCGTTGCTTCTGACCATCCTGCAGCTACGTGATCAGCAGCCTGGAGCTGCTGGTGGCTGAGGACTACATGATCGTGTACCTGAATGGAGCGACGCCGCGGAGGAGGATGCCGGGGCTGGGGTGGCTGAAGAAGTGCTACCAGATGATAGACAGAAGGTGAGATCCTGCCCTCCTCCCACATCTCTCACTGCTTCCATGGAATCATTCAGGTTGGAAGAGACCTGCACAACCCAACCCATCCCACTGCCCACGTCCCTCAGTGCCACCTCTCTACAGCTCTGAACCCCTCCAGGAGTGGTGACCCCCCATTCCCTGGGCAGCTGTGCCAGCACCTCACCACTGTTTCAATTCCTCTTAATACCCAGCCTGACCCTCCCGTGGTGCAATGTGAGGCCATCCCCCCTCATCCTATCGCTGTTATGTGGAGCAGAGGCCGACCCCCCCTTGCTACAACCTCCTTTCAGGAGCTGCAGGTCTCCCCTGAGCCTCCTGTTCTCCATACTGACCCATTCCATTCCCTAAACCACTCTCTAAGTCCCCACTGTGTTCCAGACCCTTCTCAGATCCACTGTCCCTCTCTGAACACAACCAGTGCTTGGTGTTGTTGGACCTCATCCCATTGGCCTCAGCCAAGTTCCAGATTCTGTAATCTTCTCCCCTCTGTCACATCTTGTTGACTTCATCCCCTCATCTCCCTCCTCCCCTGACTCAGATCCATGTAGGGACTATCCTACACCTGTAGGCAGCCATCCTACCAGCTGCCATCTCAGTGCTCCCACAGTGCTCATGAGCCCATGGGCTTTGGTTTGGAGGCCCCCACACACTGACAGATCACAGTGGGCTCTCAAGTTTGATATTCCATCCCATGGTTTCCCTCCAGGCTGCGGAAGAACCTCAAAGCCCTGATCATTGTGCATCCCTCGTGGTTCATCCGGACGGTGCTGGCTATTTCCAGGCCCTTCATCAGGTAAATGTAAAGCACTTCCAAATGTGAATGGTTTCAGAATGGGAACTGCATTAATCTTACGCTCAGCTTTGGGTAACGGTGCCCAAAGTGAGACCACGCAGCGGAGGGAGCACAGAGAGGAGGGGAGGAGGAGGAGATGGGCACAGAGGAGCGGAGCTCCACACCCCCATCAGGAACACCAGAATTCCTGCAGAGAGAAAAGCAAACCAAGGCCTCACACTCCTTCTCTTCTTCTGCCAGCGTGAAATTCATCAATAAGATCCAATACGTTCACAGCCTGGAGGAACTGGAGCAGCTCATCCCCATGGAGCACGTCCAGATCCCAGACTGCGTCTCGCAGTGAGTACCATGGCACTGATGGAGGGGGACATCGTGTTGGGTCCAAAGGACGTCGTGTTGGGTCCAAAGGACGTCGTGTTGGGTCCAAAGGACGTCATGTTGGGTCCAAAGGATGTCGTGTTGGGTCCAAAGCACGTCGTGTTGGGTCCAAAGGATGTTGTGTTGGGTCCAAAGGATGTCATGTTGGGTCCAAAGGATGTTGTGTTGGGTCCAAAAGACGTTGTGTTGGGTCCAAAGGATGTTGTGTTGGGTCCAAAGGATGTTGTGTTGGGTCCAAAGGACGTCATATTGGGTCCAAAGGACGTCATGTTGGGTCCAATGCTGCACGCTGGGAGCACAGAGCCTGGGGTGGACGTTGGCTTCTCAGTGTGTGCCAAGCAATGGTGTGCAGACAGCTCTCTGCCACCCCAGAGCCGAAGCATGGAGAGCAAACACTGTGTTTTGCTAAAAGCAAGTGGTGTCAGCGGGGTGATGCTGAAGAAGTGTTTCTTGTTTGTTGCAGATTTGAAGAAGAGAGGATCAAAGCCAGGAGAGAAAGGTAGGACTGCTCTCAGGTTCCTTCACTCGGGAAATTGCTGCCCTTTTTCTCTGTGCATTACTCTGCCCCCGTCTCCTCCAATGCAGAACCTCTCATTGCTCCCTGCAGCCCCCACCCCATTCAGCTCCAGCTTTCCCAGTCCCACTCCTGCACAGCAGGGCCGTGTCCTCAGCCCTCCTCGGGAAGACCTTAAACTCTCTGCTCTCCCAAAACGCAATAGATTTCAAATGCACTTCTTGCTTACAGGGCAGAAGAGAAACAAGACATGGCTGAAAGGGAAAGGTAATGATTTATCCCTCACTTAGACTTAATCCCTCACTGAGAAAATACCTGAGGCATTCTTGGCATGAGAACGGGGTCACAGCAAGGCCTACTTTTGTTGCAGCTTTGCTGCTGACCTTCATTTGTGTGCGTGGATCCCCAGCCCTGTTTGTCACCTCCATAAGCTGGCAGAGCCACTTGGTCATGGAGCACAGCCAGCAGCACTGGGAACGTTCAGTTTCAGCTCTTGCACAGTGGGAAAGTGCAGAGGGCCAAGTGCTGCTATCTGGCACATTCGGGTGCCCCCAAAGGCTGTAACATTAGATGGGAAGGAAAATTCTAGGAAGGTTTGGAAGACAGTGTCCAAAGCCAAAGCCAGGATCGCTTGGCCTGGTGTTAGCTCTGCTTTGGCCTCTCTGCTTTGTTCTCAGCAGCTCCCTCCCCAGAGCTGTGGGTCAGATGTGCCAGGACCCATTTGAGCCATGGGGACCACAGGACCTCGGGGCCAAGGGGCAAATTCACTAACTGCATCCATGGTTCTCTTCCCAGCAGGCCTGTGCCCCCTGCAGAGGATCAAGAAACCAGGTTGGACCACCATTCCCTTCTGCCTCCCCTCTGCTATGGGGCTTTGTTGCATTTGTAGTATGCAATGTGGAAAGTTCCAACACGTGTGTCATCCCAGAATCATTACTTTGGTTGGAGGGGAAACATCCCAGTTCCACCCACTCCATGGGTGCCCCCCACCTGCCCCGTGGCCCTGGGCTGCTCTGGGGATGGGGCACCCATGGGTGCCCATGGGATGCACTCAGAGTGTCACGGTGAGCTCTTCATGTGCCCTCAGGAAAGCCCTTAGAGGAGACCCATTCCCATCAGAGCTGTGCGTGGCGTCTCTTCAGCCCTGATCGCAGAACCACAAAACCATTAAGGCCGGAAAAAAACCTCTCAGGTCCCCCAGCCCACCTCCCACCCACTGCCCGTGTCCCTCAGCCACATCCACCCATTGGTATTTGGTGGAGGATTGCCCCCCAGACGCGACCGCGCTGTCAGAGACAACAGCCAGAACAAAGCACCACCGTTTGCCACCTCAAACCCACGCTGTCTGTCTGTTCCTCCCCAGCATGCCGTGAATCGAGGCAGCGCGGGACAAAGGGAGCAGAGAGCGACGCAGCCCAGCACTCCCCCCTGGAAATGACCTTTGGGTAGAAGACCTTTCCACCACCCAGCTCTGAGCTCTGTAAGGTCACGGGGCCTCCCCTGTCTGCACAACGCAAAGTCCTCCAAACTTCTGGAAAACATTTGACTTTTCAACAACAACAAGAAGAAATATCTCCAAGGATAGCACGTTTTCTTTTCAGGATGGGTTCCATCGTGTCCAGCAATGGTCTGCAGAGAGCTCGGAGCAAACAGAGACTCCACCTCCTCGCAGTGAGCAAAGAGCATCCCGCAGTCCATTTGCCCACAGACAGATCTGTTCTTCTTTTCAGTCCCAGCTCACTGCGACACTCTGCTGCCCCAGGGGATCGCTAATGCAAGAAATGAAAAGAGTCCATTTTCCCCCTTGCTATCCCTTTATTTTCCCCCTGTAAATGCCAAGTGCCCACCGCTCCTCCCAGCCTTGACCTCCGTTCATCTGCTGCCAGTTCTTATTAACTCGTAGTGAGCCGTTGCTGTGGGTAGATGCTGTGTTTTTACCATACTCATTCTGCCTCCGTAGGGCCCCGGTAGCTTTGGGAAGGGTCCCACAGAGCCTCCCTGTGAGCTTCTCCTCATGTCACACACAGTGGTCAGAAGGAGCCCTGCAGACAGGAGTGCTTCCTATGCCTCTGTGTTGGCTTCATGCCCTCGGACAATCCTCCATCACCGCTCCCTTGGTGGATTCCCACTGCCGAGGGTCAGGAACGCGCTGTGTGTCCTGGGGAGCACAGACCCCTCGGTACAGACAGATCCACGTGCAGGGATGGAGGAGAAAGTTGGGATGTGATGTGGGACTGTGCTGCCTGGTGCCGGGGCTCAGGAGGGCTCTGGGAGCAGAAGGGAGGAGAGCATGTTGGAAATGAGGACGTGGTGAAGGCAGTTGAAGATGCTGCTCTCGTCAGAGCGAGCTCACACACAGCACACCGGGCAGAGCCCTGCGCCAACAAGTGTGGATGGAGACCTGTGGGTCCCACACCCAGCCACCCCAACCCACAGCAATCCAAAATTAACCATGGGTTTCTGCGAGCGTCATTATGGGCCCCACTGGCAAGGGGAATTCTGCACAGCAGAGAAGGACTGAACAGCACTGCGACATCGGGGCAGCCCCTCCAGATCCTGTGGGCTTCAGATCATCCCATAAACACTGGGGATCTCCCTGTAGTAGGGTGGGAATTTGCCATCTCCTGTCGATAACACTGAGGTTGTCCTTCTGTGGTTTTGGACCATTTTAATGCATTTAGACAAAAAAAAAGAAAAAGAAAAAACAGAACTGCTCTGCTTACACAAAAGAGTGCAATTGGACGTTGGGAGTGGAGTTAGCAACCCAATGGGTGGGATGTTGGATAGCATCAAAGCTCAGCTCCCAAACCCCTTCTAACATCTGTAGTTATTAAAAACTCCAGTGAAGAATGTTTGAAACACAATGGGAAATCGTGCTGCTACAGAGCACGGGGCAGTGAGGAATGTAGAGGACGCGTGGTGCTGGGACCACTTCACAGTGCTGACATCCCACAGTCCATGAAATGCAACACTTCATGACCCCTAAGGACACGGTTTGGGGTTTTGTTGTTGGTTTGTGGGGTTTTTTTCCCTCCTTTTTCAATTCTTTTCCAAAGAACAGACGCTGGGTCTACGACTTCAGAAAAGCTGCAGGCCTGAAGATGATGTGTCCCGGGTTTCCAAGAGATTCCTTTGGGCTGAGAGTTCCCTGCGAGGATGCACAGACTTCACTGTGAGATGCGTAAGAAGTGATGTAAACACGAGTCCATTCACAACTTCTTTTTCCAAAAGGGCACTTTCTGATGGAGCACGTGGGATGCACCATATTTTAATTTTTCACAAGATGTCTGGATTGCATCAGCGTTCTGCTCCTGGATGGACATCTGTGTAGCTTTTCAGCACGGAAGAGAACGTTCAGCCCATAGCGGTGTGGGCACAGCCCAATGGGTGAGGGCTCAGCTCAGCCCACAGTGGGTGCGGGTGCCCCATATCCACAATGGATACAGGTACAACTAAATGTGAAAAGTTTTGGTAGCAACGAAAAATGTATCACTGACTTGTTGTTTCGGAGAGTGATTCAGATGCTCAGTGAAACTCTTTGCTGAGGACACAGCAGTGGGGTTGGCAGCGTCCCATAATTAACTACGCTGCAGTGCTGATGGCTTTAGGGCTGGTAGAGCAGCACAGGTTTCAACACATTGCCACAGGGTGGCCAAGGGATGGGCAGAGAGGCAAACGGGTGCAACAGGAGCTGCACCTGTCTGAAAATGCTGTCAGAAATTCACGTCCCGCTGTCACAGAGGTGAGAGGTTGATGGTAACTCCGGAGGACAGCGGACAAAAATTGGGGGCAGGTGATGGAGAACTGGTGATGCAGAGCTGCCAGTCCTGATGATGGAACTCACCGACCGTAAAGCAGCTGACAAGGGGCCAAGAGGAATCCAGAGTGACTGCAGACACTTTTTTTGCTGTTTCATAGAGCGCTGTGATCGGAATCAATGTACGGAAGGTCTGGTGCTGATGTTTCCACCGGAGTGCAGATTGTAGGAGATCCTCAGAGCAAATCTGCTCTACCAGAAGAAGATAAAGAAGTGAAATCACAGAATGACAGAATTGTAGGGGTTGGAAGGGACCTCCAGAGATCACAGAATCACAGAATCACAAGGTTGGAAACGACCTGCAAGATCATCCAGTCCAACCATCCTCCCACTCCTATCAGTGCCACAAGCACTAAACCATCTCTCGTAGCTCCTCATCCAGGCGCCTCTTGAACACTGCCAGGGACGGCGACTCCACCACCTCCCTGGGCAGCCATTGCAGTGCCTGACAACCCTTTGAGAGAAAAAGTTTATCCTAATATCCAACCTAAACCTCCTCTGGTATAACTTCTGGCCATTTCCTCAGGTCCTACTATTTGCCTGGGAGAAGAGGCCAGAACCTTTTGCACCACAACCTCCCTTCAGGAAGCAGGTTCCCTACAGCAGGTCGCACAGGTCGGCATCCAGGCAGGTCTTGAACATCTCCAGAGCAGGAGACTCCACCACCTCCCTGGGCAGCCTGTTCCAGTGCTAAAATAAATGTGGTAATGCAAGCACATTTCCATTCAGTCCTTTGCCAGCACGTAGACACACCTACCAAAGGAAACTGAATCAGCTGCATCCCTTTTCACCCCATCGTTCTCCAGGATGATGTTCCCAATACAGACCAGACCCCATTTCTGCCCCATAGAAACATCTCTAAGGATATGTGGACTCCTAAATGCTCTGCTTTCCATCAGGCAGAGGATTTACACGGCTGAACTGCTTCGTTTGGGCCAATTTAGGAACTGCTCCCATTCAGGACCACCCAGCGATGCTCTCTGGTTCACAGCAATGACCCAGGGAATGAAGCTGAGAAGCTGCTGCTCCGTTGGGAGCACTCACACCGCACTGCACTGCACAGACGTGAGCAGAGAGCCCCCCTCACCTGCACTGTTCCCAACTCTTTCTTCCAAAGACCCTTTTGCTGAGAGACGCACGGACGTGTGGATGAGGAAAGCAAAGCAGCACAGGTTTGAAGAGCAACACATCTCCTCCTGAACGTATCCAGGCGCTGAAAAAGGAAGGAGCCGATGAAGCAGTGGCAGCAACGAGCTGACATCGACCCAACAGCAGTGGAACCGCTGCTCCTACCCCAGATCCTCTGCAGCCCCTGGGGAAGGGAGTTTTTAAGGCACCGTGGCGATACGAGCCCATCGATCGCCGGGTTTTTCTTTCCTTTGCAGTGGCCCTTTTCACACAAACCCACATGTAAAAACATGTCCTTTTTCTAAAGTGTTTGTAATTGGACGGGCTGTGCTAGAAGGGTAGATTGCTGCTCAGTATGTATCGCTCTTTTTTGGCTTTGTATGATCCCATCAGAATCTGTGGATACCCAATTAAAAACAAGACTAATCCTCAAGAAAAAACCCACGTCCCTCTTTTTGTCTGTCCCTCTGGTAGGGGTGGTGGCACTGGAAGCTGAGTGTTTGCACCAAAATGACCTCTGTCCTGTCCACGTGGCACATGGCCCCTCCAAAGGGATCTCTGCCTTAGGACAGAGCTGCAGTCTGTAACAATGGGTACAGAAGGTGTGCACCTCCAATTTTTAATTAATCTCACTTATATAGAGTCATACTTATGTATATAAACATGAGGATTTACAGTGAGACATCTGAGGAGTCAATCTGAGTGCTTTATAAGTGGGATTTGGGGATATTTCAGCTGAGGAATTGGAAGTATGGATGGGTGCAAGCTTAATCCTATAGAATTATCACTGTGTTCACACTGTGAAATATTCAGGAAAAGAACTTGACACAGCTGAACCCAGTGGGCTGTGACAGGGCTGAAGGAGCCCCAGTGACCCTGATGCTGTTGGGTTGTGATACAGCCAAGGGAACCTCGGTGACCTTGCTCCCACTGGGCTGTGACACGGCTGAAGGATGGGTTGGGGTTGCACCTGATGATCCTGGAAATCTTTTCCCACCTTTGTGACCATCCCATGAGGACCACTGCTCTGCGTGGGCACTGACTGCCATTGAAGGACAGTTGTTCCTTTTTGTGTGTTCATCTGGCAACAACAAAAACAGTCTCAGAAAAACAAGATCCAGGTCCACCGACAGAACTGAATTCAGATCCCTCTCCCCCAGCTTTGGCCCATCGTGGAGTTACACACGGGCTGAAAGACATGAGGTTCCAATGGGGACAGAGCTGCTCTGTCAGCTCCTGCAGGTGGAATTCCTGCTGTTATTACCACACTGATACAAAGAAGAACCATTCCCCACTCCTCTCCATGGCCATTCCCACTAACCCCATGGTTCCTCCCACAGAGCACTGAGCCCCAAAGAGCTCCCTTTCCTGCAGCATCGGGATAGATGTGTGCTTCATTCAGAGTAAGGTCATGGGGTGTGGGAGCAGGACAGCTGCAGATCCCAACACTTTGGGAATTTTTTTCTACATCCCTAATTGGGCCCTGCAAAAACAAGCTGCCTGCCTTCAGGCTCCAGCTTTCCTTCCCCTCCCAGCCCTATAGAATCAATAATGTCAGAAAAGACCTCTATGATCATCTTGCCTGACATCTACACACTGCCTCACCCTGTTTCTTTCATGCCAACCTTTAGTCCATTCCTTCTGTGCCCATCCCTTTCCCTTCCCCCAACAATTCTGCCCCCCCACACCCCACAGCACACCCAGAGGTCCCCATTTCCTCCCACTGGTCCCCACTCCCAGCTCACAGCCCTCCCACCACCGTGGGCAGCAGTGGGATCAGCTGCAGTGACACGGAACATGTCACTGTTGGCAGCTCTGTGACAAGGTGCCAGCAAATGTTATCCTACAGAAGCTTGGTACCCTGCCAGCCCATGGTTTTGCCACCAGCTGATAGAGCTCCTTATCTTCTTTCAGGGCAGTCCTGTATGGAGGTAGAAATTGGACACGAATATCACGATGGTTCCTTCCAGCTCAGAATTTTCCAAGGTTCTCCAGTTCTTCCAAGTGGGTACGAAGGGTTTTGCATTGTTGATGTGAGTGCCACCCAGCCTTTGGAGAAACGCTCTGCAGCACAGCCCAGAGCAAACCAAGAATATAAAAATCTGCAGGTGGAAACACTGCCTTCCCTCAGTTCTTTATTAACTGCAGTGCTGCCTCATCCCAACGCTACCTCCAAGGAAGGCATCCAGAAATCCTGACGTAACAGTGCTCACATCCTAACCATAATCCTGACCCTGATCCTAACCTTGGCCCCATAAGCAACACCTTACAGCTTGAAGTCTGAATGGAAGCTTTAGGATCACCGATGCATCCTGCAGCAGAGCTCCATGCCTGTTGCAGAGCTGAGCTGCCCCAGGGGCACAGAGGCACTCCCCAGGAATGCTGGTGTCCCCTTTGCCAAACCTCTCCTAGCTTCAACCTCAAGCTGGCACATTCTAAAAGCAGAGAGCATCGCCGTCTGCCTGCGGTTGCAGCTGTCACCCCCCGTTTGTGTTGGCGAAGCGTCACCACGAACGGCTCTGTACAGAAATGAGCACGGAAAAAGGAAGTGCCACTGAGTGACATGTGACTCACCCGGCACGCAGCCGTAGTGCTGCTCAAAAAAGAACTCGTGAGCACGCGGCGACGGCATGGCCACGCCATGGGTCAGGAGGGCTCCCTGCTGCCAGGAAGGACGGCTGTTCTCGTTGGCGTCCGTTTGGGGTACTGGGCTGGGGGGCAATTCTCAGCTGCACAGAAGATGGCATGTTCCAAATGTATTTGGTTCCACGGTGACCAAAGGTGGCTGACCCCAGTGTCCCTCCACCTGCAAAAACCTGCAGGTTTTTATGGCCATGTTAAGGTCAAACACGGTGAAATCGACACTAATAAACACCACGCACTGTTTGTTCATTAACCAGACACCTCCCCAACTCGTGGGCAGGAGAGGGACACAGCGAAGAGGAAGAAAAATGTACTTCTGTTTGCACGGAGCTCAGCTGAGGCTGGACTGTAAGATGGGATCAACTGTTGCTACTCCTTTTCAGTGCACAGTGGCAACAGGCACCAATGGGCGACCCACTGTAACCACTGTGATGGGCACCTGCTGGGTGACCCCACTGCAGCCACTGGAAATCCCATGTCCAGTTTTCCCATTCCCATTTTCACCTCCCATTCATCCTCAGGAACTGCAGCTCCACACATCTCTACAGCAATCCCATCACGCTGCAATGGGAAAATGGCAGTGAGAGTCCCCAGAAACACATCAGCACACAGCTAATGCTGGCAATAAGAACTGGAGTGGGAACATGCAGAGGTCTGGGTGCTCAACGCACAGAGCAATGCAGCGTTGGGTCGTGTCATATAGCCCCATTCATAGATTTGCTATAGCCTGTCTCCATTGAAACAATCTCATCTGTTGCCTCCAACACCTTCATTGCAAGGTTCCAGAATCTGGTTAACGTTTTTCTGCTAATTGGCAACCTGTGTTAATTTGTGGTCGGCTTATCTTAACGGATCACCAGACCTTGACCTCATGGCTGATGAGCACAGTGCAGCCTGCAGGGTCTGCAGGGAGAAGGACCATGCTTGGTTGGATCACAGCTGGGGGGGCACAGCCCGGATTTGAGGTGCAAATGAGATTGTTTAGGGCACAAAGCTTTCTGCACAAAGCAGCCCTGAACACGAACTGATGATGAGGGCACACCATCCCCTGCCTGGAGAAAAAGGCATCGCTGGTGTGTGCCACGTGCTGGGGGTGCTAATGGGATGGGAGACACAACAGGCATCCGCACAGAGACGGGAGCAGGGATCGGTGCTGCAGCACAGGGCTGTAGGGAAAGGGAGACACAAGGTGTGTTGGTGCACTTACCAGCTGCATCGTTAGGTCGTTATTTACAGCCCCCTTTATGGCCAGGAATGCCGCCAGCACTGTCAGGCGCTGTGCTGATAAGCAGAAGGAAGGAAACGCGCGGTGCTTTGGTGACTGGAGCTCTGCCGGGTGCTGCTTTGAAACAATGCTCCAAATTCCCATCACTGCGTCCATCAGAACGCTGCCCGCCCCACACAGCGCGTCCCCGCGATCTGGGATCTGAAAAGATCGCTGTAATTAAAATCAAAGGCCCTGCATTGCAGAGGCAGTCTTTTATTTGAGCAGCGGCATCCGGATCTGACGGATGTGTGGGGGAACGCAGAGAGGGACCATCAGCACAGCCACCGGGCGCTGCGTCTGCGGGGCAGAGCTAGCTCCAGGCTGCAAGTGGTTCCCTAAGGATGTGAACAGGGGGCGGGACGATGGGTTTATCGGGTTTGGACGGATTTATACATACGGGAATACAAAGAGGAAGCAGAAGGGCGCTCTCGTTCTGCATTGTCCGTGTTGGGGTTTCAGGGAATCCGGGTGCAGCTGCGATCCGCAGAAGGGAAAGCAAAAGGAGAATGATTTCCTCGCTCAGCCCCACGGAGGGGGGTTGACATTTCCACCTGCCCCATTCCTAATTAAGGCAAAGGGATCGCCGCCGAGCGCTAATTATAGCCAGCAGAGCGACAGGTGCGCGCGTGACCCCGCGATCAGAGCCCGGGGAGAGGGGGGAGGAGGAGCCGGAGGGGGGGGGGGGGGGGGGGGGGGCGGGCCGCCCCCAAAAAAGGGCATGGGGGGGGCAGATGGGTGTCAGCTATGGGGCGGGGAAACGGCCGCCGGATGCTATAAACCCGCAGCAAAGCGCCTCTGTTTCAATGGAACAGCGGAGCGGGGCTGAGCCCAGCGGGAACGCAGCGCAGCCGAGGGGGAAAAGGGCCCCTCTGTGCAAAACCCCACAAACTGTGGGGTTCTCCTCCTCCTCCCCACACTGCACAGCTCGGCTATGGAGTACATCATAGGGATCGGAGGGTGAGTGTGGGTAGAATGGGATGGGGTTAGGGGGTGCATGGGGATGGAGGGGGTTATGAGGTGATATAGGGGGTGGGAGGGGGTTCCTGGGTTGTATAAGGGATAGGAGGGGGCTCTGCTGTTACATAGGGGATGGGGTTCTAGGGGTTGTATAGGGGATAGGACAGGGTTAGGGGGTGTATAGGGGGAGGGAGAGGGTTCAAGGCTGATATAGGGATGGGGTTCTAGGGGTTGTATAGGGGATGAGAGGGAGTTCTGGGGTTATTTAGGGGATAGGATGGGGTTCCTGGGTTATATAGGGGATAGCGTGGCATTATGGGGTTGTATAAGCGCTGACAGAGGGCTCATGGGTTATATAGGGGATAGGACAAGGTTCTAGGGGTTGTACAGGGGATAGGACAGGGTTCTGGGGGTTATATAGGGAATAGGAGGGGGTTATGGGGTGATAGAGGGGATGGGGTTCTGGGGCTTGTGTAGGGAATGGGATTCTATGGTTATATAGGGGATGGGATGGGGTTCCTGGATTATATAGGGGCTATATAGGGGACAGAATGGGGTTCTGGGAGCTGTATAAGGGACAACAGGAGGTTCTGGGGGCTCTATAGGGGACAGGACAGGGTTCTGAGGGCTGTATAGGGAATGGGATGGGGTTCTGCATTTACATAGGGGATTATAGGGCTACATAGGGGATTGTACAGCTATATAGGAGACAGGATGGGATTCTAGGGGTTGAACAGGAGATGGGAAGGGGTTCCGAGGTTATATAGGGGATAGGATGGGGGTTATATAGGGGATGGTACAGGATGGTGGGGTTACATAGGGGATGGGATGGGGTTATATTGGGGATGGAACGGAGTCCTGAGGTTACATAGGAGCTGGTACAGGATGGTGAGCTTACACGCGGGGTCGGACGGGCTATGGGGCTGCACAGCGGACGGGAGGCATGCCGGGGTCGGTCACACAGTACGGGGCCAACACGAGCACTGCCCCGGGGAGATCGGAGCCGCCACGGCGCAGACCCCTCTGCCCCCCACCTCCATCCCGCCCAACATGGCGGCGGCCCCGCTCCTCTCAGCGCCGCAGCGCCCTCCCGCGCGCGGGAAGCGCCGGACGTTCGGAATGTTACACTTCCGGGATGGGAGGCGGGCCGCGCTCGCGGCGACAGCCAATCAGCGCTCAGCGCGCGCCGCCGCGGCGCGAAATTCGAACGTGGAGCGCGCGCTCCCCGGTGCCGGTTCGTGTTCCGCCATTTTTGGGTCCGAATCGCCAGGTTTGGGGTTTTTGGGGTTTGGGTTTTTTTTTCGCTCTAGCGTCACCAACGGGGGCAAAACCACGCTGACCAACAGGATCGTCAAGGCGCTGCCCAACTGCTGCGTCGTGCACCAGGATGACTTCTTCAAGGTGAGCGCCGCGGGGATCCCACGCCCTGCTGACAGGGAGAGCGGTGGGGGCAGGGGGAGAGATGGGATGTGGGGCCAGGGGAGCGTTGGGGTTGATGGAGCGCTGAGGCCAGGGGAATTTGGGGCCAATGGAGTTTGGGGTGAATGGAGTATGGGACTGTGGAGCATTGGGGGCAGTGAGATGTGGGGCTGGGAGAGCATGGGATTAATGGAGTGCTGGGGCCAGGGAACCAATGGAGCGTTGGGGTCCACTAAGTATTGGTGTCAGAGGGGCATTGGGGTTAATGGAGCACTGAGGCCAGTGGAGCACTGGGGTTAATAGAGCATGGGTCAACGGAGCATTGGGGCCAATGGAATTTGGGGTCAGGGGAGCACTGGGATTGATGGAGCATTGGGATCAATTGAATATGGGGCCAGGGGAGCATTGGGGTTGGTGGAGTACTGGGAGCAATGGAATATGGGGCCAGGGGAGTACTGAGGTCGATGGATCACTGGGGTTAATAGAGCATGGGCCAGTGGAGCATTGGGGCCAATGGAATTTGGGGTCAACGGAGTGCTGGGGTAATGGAGTATGGGACTATGGAGCATTGGGGGCAATGGGGCATTGAGATCAATAGAATATGGGGCCAGGGGAGCATTAGAGTTGATGGAGCACTGGGGCCAGGGGAGCATTGGGGTTGACAAAGCATTGGGATTAAAGCATGTGGGGTCAGGGGAGTATTGGGTTTAATAGAGCACTGAGGCCAGTGGAGTGCTGGGGCTGATAGAACCTTGTGGCCAATGGAGCATTGGGGGCCAATAGAAGATGGGACCAATGGAGCACTGGGATCAATGGAATATGGGGCCAGGGGAGTGTTGGGGTTAGTGGAGCACTGGGGTTAACAGACTATGGGGCAATGGAAGATGGGGCCAGGGGGGCATTGGGGTCAATGGAACATTGGGGTCAATAGGATACGGGGCCAGTGGAGCATGGGGTGGCAATGGAGTGTTGGGATTAATGGAACATAGGGCCAGGGGAGCATTGGGGTTGGCTATAATATTAGGGTCAGGGGAGCACTGGGGCCAACAGAGTATTGGGGGGTTGGAGTACAGCTCAGTGGAGCATTGGGGCCAATGGAATATGGGGCCAGTGGAGCATTGGGGTCCAGTAAGTACTGGGGTCAGGGGAGCACTGCTATCGGGGGAGCTTTGGAGTTATTGAGCATGAACCAATGGTGCACTGAAGGCCAACGAAATATGGGGGAACATTGGAGTCAATGGAATATAGAGCTGGTGGAGCATAGGGGCCAGTGGAGCTATTGGGGTCAGGGGAGCATTGGAGTAATGGATTATGGGGCCAGTGGAGCACTGAGGCCAATGGAATATGGGGCCAGTGGAGCATTGGGGTTGATGGAGCATTGGGGAGTATGGGCTGGTGGAGCACTGGGGCCAGTTTGCATGCTGCCCTATATGTCTGCTTATAACCCTGAGTGCTGGGATGGCTGCAGCATGGCCAGCCTCAGCCCTCTGTCACCAATGGCCCCGAGGAGCCCAGAGCACTGCTGAGGTTTTTGGGGTGGGGGGGAGATGGGGAAAGGCTGTGATTAAAGGCTGTTGGGTTTGGGGGAAGCGATCCTACTGGCTTTGCAGCAATGTTTTCTCACTGTGTTTCAGCCCCAAGACCAAATAGAAGTCGGGGAGGACGGCTTCAAGCAGTGGGACGGTAAGAGCGGTGCTGGCTGTAGGATGCAGTGATGTATCTTCTTTCGTTGGGCTGTTTTGTTGGGGTTTTTTTGTTGGGTTTGTTTTTTTTCCTGCTGTTGTTTTTCCCTAAGCATTTCCTTTCAATTCTTAACGCTGTCATAGTCCGTTAACCTTTCGAACCCGTGTGGGTGGCGGCGTTTGATGGGGATCCTCTCTCCCACCCACCCCTCAGTGCTGGACTCCCTGGATATGGAGGCCATGGTGAGCACGGTGCGTGCCTGGATGGAGAACCCGGTCAAGTTCGCCCGTTCCCATGGGGTGAACGTCACACCTGACCCTACAGAGCCTCCGTCCAAAGAGCCCCACATTCTGCTCATCGAAGGCTTCCTGCTTTACAACTACAGGTGAGCTCGAGGGCGGGGGGAACCCATGGAATTGAAACCCATTCCTGGTATCAGCGTGCCCCACCGAGTCCCCATAGCAGATTTTGGGGTGGGGGTCAACCATGCGATGCATGGGGTGACTGCTGATGAGCCCGCCCTACAGGAATGTGCCTTAATGACAGCACTGGTCAGCAGGGTGGGAAATAGGAAGGTTGATTGTGGGGTTTTGGGGGGGAGGGTAAGACCAGGAAATAACGATTTCTTTCTGCAGACCCCTGATGGAGCTCTTCGACCTCCGCTACTTCCTGGCAGTGCCGTACGATGAGTGCAAACGGAGGAGGAGGTGGGTGGTGCTGGGCTGCAGCACTGACCAACCCCAAATCCTCATCCCAGCCAGCACTGCTCACCCTTCAGCCTTCATCCCAGCTGGCACTGCCCAAACCTGAATCCTCATTTCAACTGACACTGCTGACCCTAAACCTTCATCCCACCCAGTACTCCCACCCTAAATCCACGTCCCAGCCAGAACTGCTGACCCTAAGCCTTCATCCCAAACAGCACTGGCCAACCCTAAATCCTCACCCTAAGCCCTCACCCCAACCATAAATGCTCACCTCACTTTGGACTTTAGGATTTTGGGATCACTGCTGGTCCTAAACCTTCATCCCAGCCAGCACTGCTCACCCTGAGCCCTCATCCCAACCATAAATGCTCACCTCACTTGGGGATTTAGGATTGTATGATCACTGCTGATTCTAAACCTTCATCCCAGCCAGTACTGCTCACTCTAAGCCCTTACCCCAACCACAAAAGCTCACCTCACCCAGCACTGCTGATCCTAAACCTTCATCCCAGCCAGCACTGCTCACCCTAAGCCCTCACCCCAACCAATTCTGCTCACCCTAAATCCTCACCCCACTCAGCTCTGCCCAGCTCTCCCATCCCACCCCTTCCTCCCATCTCACACTGCTGACCCCAATCCCCCTCCTGACCCCAGTAAGGGTGATGAGCTTTGGGGTACCCTGCACTGCCGTTATTGGTGTGTAGGAGCATTGCGTGCAAACTGGAATTAATGAGTTTAATTAGGATAAGTGACCCCATGCCATAGGGGGATACATCTATAGGGGGCAGTAGGTGAGCCATAGGGGGGATTATAGGGGGATATGAGGCTACAGGGGGCTGTGGGGTGGATATGGGGAGATATGGGGCAGTCAGTCTTGGCTCTGACTGTCCCTTTGGAGTGGGTTTTACCAACATCCCACCCACCAACGGGGACGTGGCACGCATCCCCTACAGCCACCATGGACCCCATCGGGGGGTGCTGGAAGAAAACCTACCCCGAAATTGGGGGTGACAGTTGCTGGGAAGCGATGCCCACCATCCCCATGTTCCCTGTTTGCAGTACGCGCAGCTACACCGTCCCTGATCCCCCCGGCCTCTTCGATGGCCACGTGTGGCCCATGTACCTGAAGCACCGCAAGGAGATGGAGGACAACGGGGTCGATGTCGGTGCGTGGCCCCATTCCCTGCCCTCGGGGGTTTTGAGGTCGCTGTGTCCCCCCACAAGGACGGTTTGATGACGGTCCGTGTCACAGAGTCACCATTAAGGATGGGGGAGAACTCTGAGGTCACTGAGCCTCGTGCTGTACCCACATGGAGCTGTAGGGCTGGTTGGCGATGGCCAGGGGGAAAATAGGGAGAATTAGGGGGGGAAAGACAACTTTCTGCTGGGGGAAGGGGGGTTTGGGGTGGGTTCTGTTGTGGGGAAGTGGGAAAAGAGCCAACAAAACCGATGCTGGAGCCAACATTTAGGCCAACAAAGCCAGCGTTGGGGCCAACATTTGGGACCAACGAAGCCAACATTTGGGGCCAACATTTGGGACCAACAAAGCCAACATTTAGGCCAGCAAGGCCAATGTTGGGCCAACATTTGGGACCAACGAAGCCAATATTTAGGCTAACAAAGCCAATGTTGGGGCCAACATTTGGGGTCAACATTTGGGGCCAGTGAAGCCAATGTTGGGGCCAACAAAGCCAACGTTGAGGCCAACATTTGGGACCAACAAAGCCAACACTGGGTCTATCCATGCCATATTTAGGAACAAATCAATGCAAATGTTGCCCTAAGCATCCCATCTATTAACCAGGCCCCCCCCCCCGGGTCAGACACCCCACAGGTTCCCCCCCAGCCCCCCATTTTGTGACACCTCCTCTCCCTCAGTCTATTTAGATGGGCTGAAGAGCAGAGAGGAGCTCTACGACGAAGTCCTGGAGGACATCAGGAACAGATTGCTGAACCGCCCCCCAGGTAACCCCACAGCTGGGGGGCAGGGGAGCAGCCCTGGGTGCTGGGGGGGGGGTCTCACAGCACCCCTTCTCCTTCACAGGGCCCCCCAAGAGCTGAGGGACCCCACGCTCAGATGTAAATACTACTTAACGCCGCCGTCGGAACGAGGGTTGATTTGGGAAACGTCTTTTGTATATAATTGAGAACTGAAGATAATTTATTTGCAACCGTGCCGGGCAGGATTTGTTATTTTATTTTATTTTATTTCATTTTATTTTATTTTTATATTCCACCACATTTTGCCAGAAGTTGGGAACTCTTCTTTTTTTCCTGATGGAAAGAACAGAGGCCGCCTTTGGGACCCGGCCGCTCCGCAACGCCGTCGTTCCCATGCAGTAAAACCAGTTCCAATCTCTCCTTTCATTTTTCCTCTTGAGCCGAGGTTGTTATGGGGTGGGGGCTCCTGCAGCCCCATAACCACGCACTGCATCGTCGGCCTCTTTGGGGCCGGGTAGGAACTGGGATTGTGCCCAACTCTGATGGGAAAACCCAATGGGATTTGGGATGGGGGGAGCTCTCCATGGGTTCCCCTGCGTAGGGGGGTCCCTGTGGCACCCAGGAGCCCCTATGAAGCACTCAGGAGTCCCTGTATAGCATTTGGGAATTCCTACAGCGTTTAGGAGTCCCTGTATGGCTCTCAGGAGCCCCCATTGCATTCAAGACTCCCTGTATAGTGTTTAAGAATCCCTATTGCACTCAGAAGTCCCTACATGGTGTCCAGGAGCCCCTGTAGCATTTAAGAGTCCCGATGTAGGACTCAGAAGTCCCCATAGAGCATTCAGGAGTCCCTATATACCATTGAAGAGTTCCTGTGTGCTGCTTAAGAATCCCTGGACAGCATTTAGGAATCCCTGTTGCACTCAGGAGTCCCCATTTGGACCTCAGGAGTTCCCCATAGCATTTAGGGAGTCCTATATAGGACTCAGGAGTCCCTGCATAGCATTTAGAGCCCTAGAGTCCCTGTACAGCATTTAGGAATCCCTGCAGGACTCAGGAGTCCCTGCACAGCATTTAAGAGTCCTTGGAGCGTTTAGGGATCCCTATGGCACTCAGGAGGCCCCATAGCATTTAGGATCCCCCTATGTAGCACTCAGGAGCCCCTATGGTGCCCACAGCCTCGAGTCCAGCGCAGGGGAGCTCCCTGTGCAGCTTGGGGGTTTGCTGGCCGTGATCCCATGGGGCTCCTGAAACCCAAACCCGCAGCACCAGCGCAGCCTCAGCACCCGGTGAACTTTGTGCTTTTGGGATCAGCTGTCGCTGTAGGATTCCCACCCCCCCCTCCTCCCTTCCCCTCTGTTTGGGAGCAGATGGAGCCCCTGGGTTTCAGCCCCGAAGCAACGGGAGCAAATGGGGTCGGCCCTCTGCCCCCCATGGATCCCTGCGAGGGGGATGGGAAGAGATCACCCCACACTGCCCTGCTATGGGGACACCGCCAGCACAGCACTCCGTCACATTGCCACCTCCCCCCCCAGCCCTAAAATTATCACCCAGCCACGTGCCCCACAGCTTGGGACGAACCCGACACCCCACAGCACGTCAATGGGCACGTGGCACGGCCCCATGGAATGACCTATGGCACAGCCCCATGGCATGACCTATGGTGCAGCCCCATGGAATGACCTGTGGTGCAGCCCCATGGCATGACCTATGGCACAGCCCCATGGCATGACCTATGGCATGGCCCCATGGAATGACCTGTGGTGCAGCCCCATAGCACAACCCCGTGGCACGGTCGTATCCTCCTTGCTCCCCACACCAAGCCCCGTGGTTGGGGTTTATATGTGGCCAAATGGGCCCAGATTTGGACCCCAAGACCTCCCCCAGATCCCCCACCCCATTCCCATGGCCTCTCCCCGATCCAACAGACCTGCATTCCCAAGATCTCCCATAGACCCTTCCCATTCCCATCACCTCCCCCCACAGATCACCCCCAACTCCCCTCCCATTCCCATGACCTCCTCCAAACCCCCAGACCCCCCCAAGGCGCTCACTCCCAGCCATAAGAATGCCCAAATCCTTCTCCCCCCCCGCTCCTCCCCTTGCACCCCAAACCCACACAGAGGGGTTATGAGGACAGAAAGCTTTATTTTATTAAAAGGGACTCAAAGCTGCACCCAGCTGGGAGGAAGCACCGTGGGGCAGATGGGACGTGTGGGGCTGCCCTGGGGGGTGCTTCCAATTCTCCCCCCAAGCACGGCCACTCTGGGGTCAGGCTGGGGTTTGTGGCCATGTAGGAACAGTGCTTTGGTCCCATTCTCCCTCCATAGGGGTGCGACCCTGAGGGACATGAGATGTCTGCCCCACTGAGTGGAGCCCCACAGATGGCACAGGACCCCCAGAGGAGCCCAAGGAAAGGGGAGTGCGGCCGTGGAGCTCAGGGGGAAAAAACCCTACAGACACTGGGGACAACCAGGGGCTCTACTGGGGACAACAGCACACTGAGCTCCGGCCCCACACCGACACTGAGGGCACGCAAAGCTGAGCTACAGGGCTGCCATCCAACCCCACTCGGTCCCTGACCCCACTGCCAAGCCATGGGGCTGCTCCCACCCCACAGCCTGCCCCCCCGACCCCAATGCCTAACAATAGGGTTGCCAATCCCACCCCACAGCCCCATATGTTCCCTGACCCAGTGCCTGGCCGTGAGGCTGCTGTCCCAACCCACAGCCCCACACATTCCCCAGCCCCACTGCTAACCATAGGGCCACAGCTCCCACCCCACAACCCCACGTGTCCCCACAACCCCCCTAC